GGTCTCAGGACATAGCAAAAAAAAAAAAAAAAAACCATGGAATATACAGACATCCCACATAGAATTTTTTAAAGATGCTTACTTGTCAGATTTTCTTTCCCCAAGTATCTCAAGTTTTAAATCATTAAACAGTAATTTTAAATATTCAAGCTTAACACCTTCGTTTTATTTATGCTACTGAGAATCAATGCTGTGAAGCAGACTCACTCGGGGCAGCTAAGGTCATCCCAGCACCACTAATGAACCATAGCAAGCACAGCTCCAACACAGATGAGGCAATAATATGAAATGCCCCAGCGACAATGTTGGGTTGTGAGAATAAGGAAGCTTACTAAAGAGAGAACTAGTTTACCCCCACCCACCTGTGTTGTAATCCACTGGCTAGAGCTGATGTGAATACTACCATTTGAAATACAGAAAGATTTACCCTTTTTGCATACCAATAAAAAACGATGGTAGGGGCTATTAACTCTAAAAGCAATTCTATGCCATGAGACAATATTCATTTAGAATGATTACTATAGAATAAGCTGGCATGGGCCTCTCTGGTGCACAGAGGTTAAAGTCTCAGCACTGTCAAGCAATCATCAGCCACCAGGGAGCTGACCCACATGGCACAGCAGACCTCTCCTGTCTGCCCGCTGCTCCCTTCAGCAGTGTACTTCAGTAGATCCACCTGTTCTAGTCCCTACTCTATCTCTGGTGAATCCTCTCCCCCTACATCCCCGTTCTTGTGTATATAAATAAATAAATCTTTTAAAAAAGAAAAAAGAATGAGCTTGCAGGCTTATCAGCATCCAGATCCCCCAACATTCACAAGTTTATGGAAGATGGTGGTTCCCATACCTGCCCTTCAGGTTTTCAAGTTCCCTGTGATGCAACATGCTCCGCATGTGTTCGTCCATCTCCTTCAAAATTAAAGAAAGAAGATTAAACTAAGGGGAAATGCTTTGGGAAAGAAAATTCCTCAGTCAACAATTGGGGCTGAAGCTCCCTGTGTCAAAGTATTTTTGTGGTGACTCTTCTCAATTCATTATTGAGATCAGTTAATTTTAAAATACAGTAATTCTTTAGCATGTTTCTGGCATTAAAGAAATTGTTACAACATATTTAAGTGGCTTTAAGTACCCCAAAAACATGAGAGAGTACATTATCTTCAGGATGCAAAAGATTAAAGAACAAACTGTGGGTTAAATTCTATCCCCAAAAAAGGAAATTGCTAAAATTTCATTTAAAAAAATAATAATAAAACTTCTTAAGTCATACAACTATTTGGGCACATTTCTCCACACAGCATGAGGGGGTTGGGAAGAGTAATGTTCCACCCGCCCCCCCCCAGTGGACGCTATGGCTTCTCCCTACTTATATATTCCTATGACAAATTATAAATTAGGCACAATAAGAGAGCACCAACAATAATAAAATAGAATACTTATAACAATATACAATAATAAAAGTTGTGTGAATGTGCATGCTCGCTTGCTTTTAAATGTCTGATTGCAGAAAACATTTTAGGACTGCAGTTGGCATGGTAACTGAGACTGCAGGAAGTGAAAACTGTAGCTGAAGTGGACTGCTGTCCTCTCTCCCAATCAACTGAAAGTTTCTGATGTAAGCCACAACGCTCATCTACGTCTTAGGGTCTGGCATATAGTTGCCAATGTTTGTGGGATGAGCAGATGGGTACATCAATTCTAAACAGAAATTACAGGCATGACAAAGCTGCTCTATGGGTAGAACAGGGAATTAAAAAAAAAGACTTTGACCACAACAGCTCAATCATACCTTCATCCCGACTACTTCTGCCTTGCCACCTCCTGCCCCAGTTGATGTTTGGTTCTAATAAAAAGTCTGGAAGTTTACTAGATTCTCCCCCTTCCTCCATGTCACTCTTAGTGGAAAGGAAATAAAGGCTATGGGAAGCATTTCCACTAAAAAAATTGCATATGTTCATACACAGACACCCCCCCCCAAAACATGTAAAACTCTGTATCTTTGCCACACCCACATATATATAGCTTGCATGCCATAATTAGAAGATGATAATTTACATATAGTAGTAAAAGGGTTTCTACAACTGAGTGTGATGTTATCTGTGCCTTGACATTTTCTCAATTGAACCATCAATTGCTGAAGGAGTACTATTAAATGTCATGAAGACACGAGGATGCAGAAAAGGTAACTTGCTTATTTACCAAATATTTATCAAGTGCCTTGGTAAATACATGCCAAATACAGAGATAAGCATTGCAGGGATAAACATAAAAATGTTCAGTCTTGGCCTATCAGGCTCCCAGATAATCATCAAGTCAAACTAGGACTCAAATCCTGGCAGACCTGACACGAAAGCCAATGTTTCCAACACCATGTGACACTGAAAGCATCTACTGCATTGAATTATTTTTACTCTACAGTCATTTTGTCAAAAGTACAACCTAATAATCTTATCTATCCACTACAGCATAACGAAATAGGGTGTGATTCAAACACTTTAAATGGCAGTTTTACTGAAGATAACCATCATTTCCTTCCTATGCCTACAAATGCTTCATTTGGAGAGCACAGCTTTAAATACTGAGTTAAAGCTATACTGATTGGTCACTAACTGGAAGAACACCTACGGAGGTGAAAAACCAAATCACATTAGTGACACAATTAAAATGAAAAAAAAAAAAAAAATCCACGAGCTCTTAATATACAACACTTACTCAAATCCCTGTGTTCCCTGTTGTCCAATTGTTGTTTCCTGGACTAGGTTCAATCGTTCTCCTTGGACTAGATTTACACAAATCCCCTTTTCATGAGCTAAATTTAAGAGAGCTCTCTGTCATACAGTGAAACTATTCCTGACTAAAACAGTATTCACTGTTACAAAATGATATAAAAACCAATTTTACTTCAGTTATAAAGATCCTATCATTCAAAGTTAGTTTTAAGGTCACTTTTGATCCTCTAGAATACTTCACTAAATTGTCTCCCAAATTTATATGCTTCCAACTGGCTCCAAGGAACGAATACTAACAGTGAGACAACTGAGCTTTCAAAATAACTGAGAATGAGCCACAGGCATAGGATTAAATTAACAGCCCCAAATGCATACCGACTCAGTGACCAAACTTCTAATGCATTCATTATGTATTAATTAGCATGTTTTGTTTTTTTTTTAAACAGGGGCTGAAAGAGAGGAAAAGATTTTGTGCCTGAATGAATTTAGAAAACATTTTGTAGTACCAAAATTTAAAATATTTTTTAGTTCTAGGGTTTTTCAACCTTCCTTTCTTTTTTTTTTTTTTTCAATCTTTCGTAAGTTAAGGAGCCTCAGAAGATTCAGGGATGTTCTGGTTTCCCCCCATACCAAGTCACCACACTTAAGAGCCATTTCTCTTTCACAGAGTTTTTGGAGAAGCCAAAGTTAAACTAGTTTGGGAAATTTTAAGCACTGCTATCACATAAGCTTTCATGATCTACCTGAAAATGCCAGCTATCCCATTCAATGAACCCATTCTGTTAATTTCTTATACCATGCTAATTTTTTCACCTAAATCATGCCATTCCCTTACTTAAAAACCTATAGTTGGTTTTCCCTCGGCAGGAGTTGGTAACTCCAGCCCTTAATATAACTTCATTAGAATTCATGGAAAGTGTGAAGAGCACAAAACATGTTTTTACACTGGAGTAGAAAAAAGGCCAAAAAGAGTTAAAGTGGCGAAGTCATGAGATAAGGCAGCTATTCTGTGAAAGTCTGACCCCTTGTCTCTGACTACCCTGCTCATACTTACTCAATTTCCTAATTCCCTCCAATCCGAAAACAGCCACAATGAATCTTTATTTATTGAAAATATTTATAATTTCTGGTCTAGATAATTTTGAAAACTAAAAAAAGCAGTTGTTTTATTTTTTAAAAAGATAGCAAGTATATTATTAAACATGATTTTAAAATTTCAACTGACTTATCAGTCACTAACAGAAATCCTACAATGGGAAAAGGAAAAATAAAAAAATCAGTGTCACCATTCTGCCGCCTCCCCCCCACCCCATGGATCATAATTAAACTCCTGGGTCTGGCATTCAACATTTTATCAAGTATCTTCACCTAAATTACAAATTAAATTGCAGTCCCACTATTCCCAAGACAAACTGCTTTAATCAAATGAGTCTTCTGACCTACTCTAAGAACTGTTAAACTAGATTCTATTTCTGTATTTTTGTATATCTTCTTCCTCTTAAAATATCTTTTCTCCACTTCTTTTAAATGACCTGACCACCAAACATCTTTTAAGGGTCATTCAAACTTCCTGGCTCATGCTAGCTCATGCTGATTTTCACACTTCTCTGAATTTCCAATGACCATCATCTTGACAAATCCCTCAAGATGATAAAGGTGAGAAAAAAACAAAAAAAGTAAATCGAACTTCAGCCAATCTAAGGCACAGGTAAATTAGCTCTTAAAAATGAGTTTTTCTTTGAGCAACATCACCACCTAGTGGTCATTCTCAGATACTGTTAATACCATTGGTTATTAACCTAATTTCTCTTTATCTACAATTGAGTCTCCGCAAATTCTGGGTAGCTAAAACAGTTTAATTCTTTAACTGTGACTTGTAATATAGCTTAATGATTTTATGAGACAATAATGAGAAGGTAACCAGTGAAAGGAGGCATAAGTAAGGTGCTATTAAAAGCTTCACCCATCTATAAATTCTGTATGATATCACTAAAAAACAGTCACTCAAAGTCTCAGACTCTCCCTCTTCTATTATTACCTTTTTTGAGCTGTACACAATGTGGCACAATATGCATTTTCGTTCTCGTACCATAGTGACCAGATCTGAAGCATTCAACGTCACACCTGCAATGAAAGTAACATTTAGTAACCTGTTTTCTCCCCTAGATGTCTTCTTAGATTCATTGTCACATAACCAAATATACAAGTCTAGCATCTCACCTCCACCCTGCTCCTCCCCACCCCCATCTAAATAGATGAAATTCCAATTTCCAGGCACCTAGGGCAAAAACTCTGAGTCATCCTTGATCCCTCTTCCTCACCCCATACCCACCCTCATCAGCAAATCCTGTCAGTCCCCACCTTAAATATTTCCAAAATCCATTTACTCCTCACTCCAAAGCACATCTGTTTTGTCACGTGGTACTCAGCCTGCTGACTGGACTCCCCATTCCACTGCTGTCCTCGAGTCTATTCTCAGAACAGTAGCCAAAGATTTTCAGAACAGAATTCTTATAAAATTTAAATCAGACCATATAACTCTTTTTTATATAATTCCTTTCTCAGAATCTTTCAGTAGATTCTCATCTCACTCACAGAAAACCCAAAGTATTTGCCAAAGTCACATAATCTGTGTAGCATTCACTTTTTGTTTGCTGTCCTACCACTCTCTCCTCCCCCCCATTCAGTCACCCTCCCCTCCTCACTCTTCTCTTCCATCCTGCCAGGGTTCTCCCACCTCCAGGCTTCCTGTTCTCTCTGCCTGGGAGATTCTTCTTTAAGATGTCTTTATGATTTCCGTGGCTCTTGTTTCCATTAGGTATCTGATATGTTGCCTCATCGCCTAGAGAATTACTGTACTTTCTTCCCTCCCTCCCCCATTTCCTCTATCCCCCTATAAAAGTTGATTTTTAATTTTTTGGCAGACATTCTAGAGGCATGCTTTTTAATTTTTTAAAGATTTTATTTATTTCTGTGTAGAAGAATTGGGATGCAGGCTAGAGGTGCAGGGGAGGAGGAGATGAAAGGACTCACCAGAGACAGTGGGGAGCAGAACAGGCTGATGTACAGAAGTACACTGCTGAGGGGAGCAGCAGAGGACACAGGAGAGGTGTGCTGGGCCATGTGGGTCAGCTCCCTGACTGGCACAGGACTCGGGCTGTCAAGGTGGTCCTTCAGGCACTGAGACTTAACCCCTAGGACACCAGGGAGGCCCCTGATTTTTAGTTTTTCAGTAATACTGTGTTTGTTTCTACAGGCAGCCCAGAATTACCATACACTCTTTTGTGAAGAGTCTTGTCACCACTCATTAAGAAGTAAAGTTTCTTTTCCTTGCCCTGTAACATATTTTAACCAAATTACATGGAAGTGACCATGTAATTTCTTCTGGGCCTTTAAAATTTGCAGTTTTGGCCTTGGCATATTTGGAGCCCTCCCACTTAGAACCCAGGCACCATGCTGTGACACTCCTGAATCACAAGGTGAAACCAAGGGAAAGAACTGAGGCCTCCACCAACAAACAACAACCAGGAGCATCTGAGAGCCAAGTTAGGCTGGAAGTCATGCAGGAGCATACAGGAGCAGCCACTGTAGGGACCCCTGAAGAGACAAGTTAAAGAACCATGGAGGGGCCTCCCTAGTGACATAAAGGGTTAAAGCATAGCACTGAGAAGGCACTATAGCACTAATTAGATCCCCAGATCCCAGTCAGGGAATTAACCCACATGGCACAGCATACAGTTCTTGTGTGCATAAATAAATAAATCTTAAAAAAATAAAAACAAAAACCCAACATGCAGGTGATCCCTTAAACCCAGAATTCTAAGAAATAATAAGACAGTTGTTTTACAGCAATAAATTATGGGGCTGTTAATTACACAGCAAGGTATATTTAAAACAATAATAGATGCATCTTTTGCTATCTGACACAATGTATACTTATTTGTGTTTCCCAATTAAAAATCAGGTTGTGGCCCTCCCTGGTGGCGCAGCGGGATAAAGCACAGCACTAAGAAGCTAAAGCCACTTCTGCACGAGTTAGATTCCTTCCTGCCCCGGAGGTGACCACATGGTGTGGCAGACCTCTCCTGACCCGCCCGCTGCTCCCCTCAGCAGTGTACTTCCTCGATCTGCCTGTTCTGCTCCCCACTCTGTCTCTGGTGAAGCCTCTCGCCACCCCTGAGCCTCTGGCCTGTACCCCAGTTCTGTACGCACAAATAAATAAATCTTAAAAAAAAAAATCAGGTTGTACAAGAACAGTGTATTTTACTCATTAGAGTTCTATCACTTATGCGTGGCCAACAGTATCGGGCATACTGTAGGCACTCCTAAATTATCTGTTGAATTATTCCATATGGAACTATCTTGGGTTTCTAAGTGTGAGACAGAGATCCAGGTAAATGCTGGGGTTTTGGTACAGACCAGAGGTTTTCTACTTTACAGTCCTCTAGCACTGGCATGCTCCCTCTGCAGTCTCTACAAAGAGACCCCACACAAAGGTTTAATTCTACTCCTCAAGCAGCATTATTTAACCCCTTCCATACATCTAATACCAGGTTCCAATTCCAATAATCTCTTTGCCTGGGTTTGTTCCTTCAGGATTTCAAAATTGTGAGGGAAGTTATAAGCTTCCTTAATTTAATCTGTAACTCCTAGAAAACATGGTGGAAAGACCAGTGAGAACAAACCTAAAGTTATCTACTTCTTGCGGTCATTTAGCAGTTCCTTGCTATGGCAACACTTTTCATAATACCACAGAATGTCTGAAATAATTTTATTTAATAACAAAGTACAAACATCACAATTAGACTGTAAGGCAAAATTTTCACATCTGCAAAGGTGAATATTAACTAGCTAATAAAATAACTAAATCTTTGGGGATTAGTACAGTGTTATTTATATTTCCAATATTGCTAATATTCTTCTCAATATCAACATTAATGTCACTCTGATGCTGAGTGCCAAAATGCAATTATTCTTTTAATTCCCTTATAGCTTAACACCTTATATTTTAATACCTTAGTCTGGCTTTAATTATATTTATACCTTATATTTTAATACCTTAGTCTGGCTTTAATTATATTTATATTTTAGCATTTTATTCAATATGCATTTTTTGAACACCAAGCACTATTCTAAGAGTTGGAAAAACAGTAACAAAGAAGTTGTGTCCAGAAATGTTTCTGAACACCACTTCAAGCTATCAACCATCAAAGCAAAACAAGAACAAAAAACTTAGAAACAACAGTCAGTGAAAAGTATGAGTTTGTGAACAAACAACAGCAGTCTTTTGTGGCGTTTGCATAAATATACAAGTTGTGTTCTATTTAATAAAGCCCAAACCATCAACTTCTAGCAAATCAAGTTCTATAATATCCTCTATCAACCTGTTAAACAAAGACTACCTCTTTCTATTTATTTTTTCCTTTCACAAACTCCACATTTCTAATCTACATATATTAAATTCATTTTCATTTTTATAAACAACTCACAAAGTATAATTACTAGTAAAGTACTTAATCAATAAGGAAAGCCTAGTATTAAACACCATGGTTGAATCTAGCTAAAGACAAAGGAACATTAATTTATATATTCTTAAACTGGATGAATAAACGATTTCCATTAAGCTTTCAAATGCTGAAAATAGCTCATGGTCCTCTCCAGGGGACTTTTAAAAAGTCTTAACATTGAAAAAAAAAAAAAAAAAGTCTTAACATTGAAGAAGCCAAGGAAATAAAAACCTGCAACTCAGTGATCTCAAAGTGCTTGAGAGGTTACATTATGCAAGTCAAGTGGGAATAAACAATTCAATTACTTCTGTCCTCACTTTAAACACCTTAAATCTCCCCATATAATTTAAATATATCCACTATAAAAATTTTTAAATTTCCAGGCTCTCCCTGGTGGTGCATCGGTTAAAGCACTGCATTATGAAGATCTGCGAAGCCATTGCAGCACAAGTTCAATCCCCGCCCTGGAGTTGACTCACATGGCCCTGGAGTCGACTCACATGGCCCTGGAGTCGACTCACATGGCCTGACAGACCTCTACTGACCCGCTCGCTGCTCCCCTCAGCAGTGTACTTCGTCAATCTGCCTGTTTGCTCCCTACTCTGTCTCTGGTGAATCCTCTCATCCATCACACCTCTGGCCTGTACCCCAGTTCTGTAAGCATAAATAAATCTTTAAAAAAAAGTTTCAAATTTCCTCCAAATAACTATGAGAATGACCTGTGATATTTCTTAGTTATAACAGCCATCCTCTTACTGCCCCAGCACCTCTGGCCAATACCCCAGTTCTTTATACATAAATAAACAAATCTTAAAAAAACCTGTAATACATACCATTTATTCTGAATCCCAATAACTAATACAACTGCCTCTTCCCTAGGCAAAGCCATATTGATTCTTTTCTTTTGGGTTCTCAGATTTAGTTGCCAAGCTCTGTTTTCCAGGTTTCTGTTTTTCATAACTGCTACCTCTTCTCCAGTGTGATAGAACCGCATGATCTGTTCTCCTTTCTTTCACGCAACTGCTCTATCATTCATTACCTTTATCCTGCTCCCAATATATAAAAAGTTCTAAATCCAAGCAGAATTGCCTATTTAAATTTATGAATAAAGAGAACCATAGTTCTACAGGCAGAATAGAACTATTCCAAGCATCTTCAAAGACATCATTTTGTACTTCACTATGCCCACCCCATCCTTACACAACACCGTGGGTGTAACTACTACCTCATAACTCTGTGGTCCACCTCAAACATCAAGATCAGACTATTTCTCCAAATATTCATTATGTAACTCAAGGATAGAAAATAACTTTTAGTGTCCAGAACTTTATATGAAACACTGTGACATTATCCTATTTTTCATGTTAAAACAACCTGGGCAATAAAAAGAGGCTGCTTGTTGGTAGGGCTCTCTTGCCCTTCCTATCTTGGGGAAGGAACCTGTCTTTTTATATACCTTGTATGTAAACTCAATCGTATTTAAGAAATAAATGCTACTTAAAATAAAACTCAATAGTCTAAGAAATTTGACATAATGAAAGCCAACTAACACTCTCATAAAGACAATAATATACTGTAAAGTACTAAAGAAAAAAGTCTAATTATTGGTTTACTTGC